AAGCCCCAGTGACAAGTGGCAATTTACAGATTCTTGAGTATTAGCATGAAGCTTCCAGAAAGGCAGGGCCTGTTGGTGAATGTGGCTAAACGGGGCAAGGAAAGGGTGTTACAGAGGAAGAGCTGGGGCTTTAGTTACCTGAGACTTTCTGCTGGCCCTGGTCCTAGGCTTCCTAGCTTAGCCACAAAGTGAGAAACAGTCTTGAGCTCCCACAAAGCCTGCTAGTCAGTGTCCCATACAATTGCTGTTCTGGAAATTTGACTCATGTAATGACCCCTCCATATGTGCTTAGAAAAAGCCTCCAGACCTGGGCTATCCCTCACAAGAGGGACTGTCACTGAGCAGCAATTGTCAGCCACCATTTCCTCCTGGTCACTGAAACCATTTGTCATTTCCTGTTTTCTCCATTTTCCTATGGATCTAATTGAAAGTGTCAAAAGGCAACAACTGTTTTCTTGAGGCTTATCTTTGTAGCACATTGATTCAGAACAAAGGATGGGAGCCTTGTCTGCAAAACAAAGGAAGCAGCCTCCTCTGGAGGCCTGAAGAGAATTCCTGGCGCCCTCTGCCAGGGACAGCAGGACCCTGGTGGGAGCAACGGGCTTCAGGGCAAAGAGCCAGCTCATGGAGGACACGCAGACCCAGGGGTCTTATGGAGCTGGCTGTCAGCACCTAGACAAGCATGGGAGCCCTGTTAGGCCCTAGCCAAACTTTCCCTAGACACTCCAAAGGCTCTAGAATATATGCTTCCCTGGACAGAGACTTCCTTGCATTCTATCCTTGTGAGCCTGGCCCAGGTCTACAATGCTCTCTCTTAGCTGATAGGCCAGATGGACGAGGATCCCATCCTTTGACTGCTGCCTCAATTCAGCCTTTCTTTCTGTCTACCATGCTGCTGGACACACTCTCCCTGTCCATCTTTCCCTTTGTATTTTTCTGCCCTACCCTGAATTCTGTTGGGTCACACTCTTAGCCCCCATCTGCCCCTGCCCTTAGCCCCCAGACAACACTAATAATTGAAAACTAATGATGCAGGCAGGGATGGTATTCAGATGGGCATGGACATCAGTGGCTATAGGCAGGAATGAGTGGAACACTGGGTCCACAGTCAAGAGGCATTGTACTTGCTAGCCAGGTTGCTGTGGGTTATCGATCTCTTTTGAACCTCACACGTTGCAGCAGTAATCTGGAGACCTGGAGGAAAAACAGAACTGAAAGAGCCATCTTTAGAAATGGTCACCCACCCAGAAAATCTTCAGCCAAATTCAGATGAACTGGTCCGGGCTTGTCACGTGACCCCTGCCTCTGAGTTATGGCCACATGACAGGAAACAGTGGGTGTGAAGTGCTCAGGACAGTAAGACAGATCCACCCCACCCAACTCTCTCTAGACCCAGTGCTTTAGTAGGAAGAGAGTAGCTCTGCTGGTCAGCTGAGATGGAGCCTTCCTCCCTGCTGCACATTCCAAAAGCCCCAGTCCTAGAGGAGGCAGGAGCACCACAGGAAGCTGCCTAAGGGCACAGTAGAAAAGCAAAGCCCAGTCTGGGTAAAACTCTTATGCTGTAGTCTCCTTTGTGCCATGTGTTTGTCCTCTCTGCCTTGGCAGAGACTAAGGCCAGGAGCTGCTGCCAGGCTTGTGAACTGGGCACACTCCCAAGCACTGGCCTTCTGCCCCACCCACTGCCACACCAGCCCTTCTCAGTGCAGAGAAGGGATTCTGGGAGCATTTTGGTGGAGAAACTGGCCTTACACAGGCATCCCATATCCTAAGATCCAATCTGGCACCTGGAGTCACTAGGCCAGCAGGTGACCTAAAGGCGTGTGCTTCCTGGCAGCTGCCTTTGATGGTTGGCATACTTGTAACAGACTATTTAAGAAGAGGAGAGGGATGGAGTGGTAGCAGGTAAGAAAAGCTGAGTCCTAACCTGTCACAGTCAGGCCCTAAGAACATGAGAGGCTCAGAGCAAGCTGCAGCCACTATGTCTGACCTTCAGGCTTCATAAGTAGCCTGCTTATATTTTTCTGAGTGGAGGGCCTGAGACCCTGAAGTAGAGCCCCTACCCCATGAACATTTAGTATACTTGGAGATGAAGACAGAAAGTTCCTCCCACTCTCTACCCTGAATCAAGTCAAGAGGAAGGAAAATGGACAGTGAGTGTATGGCTATTTCTGGTGTGGAATAGTGTGTCCATCTGACCAAGTGACTATCCAGGAACATCTGCACCAAGAATCAGCACTTATTCCATGGCGGTCCTGTAGAAACTGGGCTCTGCTACAGCCCTAGCAGCCCAGCTCACCAGTCATCCCTTAACTGGATAATTTGAAGTAGTTATCCCTATCCGCAATTGCTTACCATCCTCTGGATATAGCTACTTTATCTGAAGCTCCCAGAGTGACATACCTAGATATCATTAGTACTGTGGGTATGGTTTGGCCAAGTCATAGTAGTATAAGACTGTCACCTCCCTCCTTCTACATACTTTGCTTCTAATAATGCAGCCCTAATGTTTCATTTGCTCTTTTGGCAACCATATCTCCCTACTGACCTATCCTGAACAGACAGACATCCAGAATGTCTGTGTACTCTTGCTATTACACTCTACTGCCCCATCCTATGCTTTTGCAGTTGGTTTCCTTAATCCAGATGTAGACTCTTTTGTGTCTACTTGTGTGATCTTGCTGGGAGGGTGGGGCATGCATGTGTTGATGTGTCCACTCATGTTTTTGCTGCACCAAAGTCAAGTCCTAGGTCCCTACACAGCAATCCAAGGCTGGTGTTTCATGGTATCTGTAATCTAATATGGTCTTTCCATCTTCTGTTTAGCAAGAGAAGCAGAGATCAGATCCTATGGCAATGACCCCTAAACAGCAGAATGTGCGTATCGCCCAGCATATGACTCAATTTCAAGGTAAGCAGAAGAGATCAGTGTCCCCAACACAGCCAGTGAGGTGGAACATTGGTTCATTTCTGCCTATAGTTTCTGCATGTGGTGTTAGAGGGACAGTCTGAAAATCACATGAATGGTGGGTGCCCAAGATAGGGGTCTGAGTGTATTTCACCTGCCTCTAAGAGCACAATCTATCCCAATGGGAGGCCTGCTCATATGGTTCCAGTATCACTTTAATTGAACAGATTGATTAAACTGAATCCAATCCCTTAAAGCCCCTGTTCTGTTGTTATATTTGTTGCTCATTGTTATCTGGAGATAGGGTCTCACTCTGTAGCCCAGGCTGCTTTTAAACTCCAGCTGTCATTGTGCTTCAGCCTCTCAATCTGTTTGGCTTACAGAAGTACACCGTCATCACCCCACCTTCATTGAAAAACAGGTCCCTTTAGACCTTTCCCTGGCCCCCATCCAACATACATGTTCCAATTTATTTCTAATGGATTTTATGGCCATTATCTGTGGAAGGTATGGAGAATGAAAAGGGAGTTGGAGATACTCTGCTGTAGATACTGGTTATGGGAAGCTGAGTTACTCCCACAGCCTCCACAAATAACTAAGGATTCTTATCCTATATCACAGCTATGAATATCATTGATATCTATTGGAAGGAGTCAGAAACACCCAGCTCCTGCTTCATGGAGCTCACAGATGCACCAAGGCAACCTGAGTTACACAACTCTTCAAACCAATGCAACGATATGTAAGCCAGGGTCCTAGAGAAGCTGTGTTTTGCACTTGTTGGCTGGCCCTCACACTGATAGGCCACACCTTTATTTCAGCCCCATGTTACCTCCTTAGTTGTTCCTCAATTCTTGTACAAAATACCACGCTCAGTTCGACCTAGTAGCTACCAGATCTGTGCCCCACCCACACCCACCACCAGAGGCATGTGTGAGTAAGCAGAAACAGAATTCAGGAGACTAGCCTTCAGAACTGGAACTATAACCTACTTGAAATACTTGCTCCATGCTACAGAAAAATCCTAGGCATGGTTACAAGTAAAGGGAGAAAATCTATTCATAGTACCAAGCACAGGTTATAGAGGACACCAGGACGGACACTCCCTCATTGGCCTTGAGAAAAGTCCATCACCAACACCAGCCTCAGTTCCCACTCCACGGAAGTCTCAGTAAATAAGGGTCACTGTGGGGTGCCACTATAATGAAGAGAAATGTATCTCCACCCTAAAGCATTGAAGGTCTCACCTTTCATATGCTCCTGTTTCTCCACCACAGACAGCCCAGGTCATGAGACTTCTGAGTTCTCCCTCTTTAGAAAGGACCTCCATTGTACTTCAGACTGGAACTATGTGAGGCTCTAGTCTGAAAGCTGACAATGACTAGGCTGTGGGACTTTAGAGGGAACAGAATTCTGTCCTCACTCCTGCATATTACATTTATCAGAGGGAAAACCTAAAGCAAATCCTACCCTCTGTTGTCTAAGAGGCTGAGCTTTCTTCCCCAGGCCTTCCCTCACCTCCCTGTCTTCTACAAAATAAGAACTACCTTTTGAGGAATGGATAGTGTCAGAATATTAGAGTAAATGTAGTCATAGCACCTGCCCTCACATTGCCTCTAATATACATGAAGAGACAGTCAATTAAGTTGCCACTTCAAGTTCAGCATTATTTGCTCTTTGTAGAGCAGTGGTTCTCAACCTGTGGGTCAAGACTCTTTTGGGGGGGGTGACCTATCCTTTTATAGGATGTCAGCTGTTCTGCATATCAGATGTTTATGTTATGATTCTTAACAGTATCAAAATTACAGCTATGAAATAGCAATGAAAATAATTTATGGTTGAGATTCACTACATGAGGAACTGTACTAAAGGGATACAGTGTCTGGAAGGTTGAGAACAACTGTTGTAGAGGATGCTGTGAGTACACAAGACCTTCCAGGCTACAGGCAAAGGAGTAAGGCAAGTTGGGAGGGACTGGGAGAGATAGTCAAGGGTACGAATGAAGACAACATTGGGCCGGCAGCTTTCGCTCAGTGACCATAGCCCAAATTGAGGACACCTTTGGAACTAATCTCTATGTCTCTTTCCATGCAGCAGTACAAGAACAAGTCATCTCCAAGTGTAGCCAGACTAAGGCGAGACCCCCATCTAACCAGCAAAAGATGTCACCCAAAACTGAGCTCCTTCAGGACAATCTGATTCCAAGAATATTACCACCCACAAGTCACAGAGGTATTTTGACATCAACTCTGAAGAAGCAGCAAGTCAACACTGGCCTTCCATTTCCCATCTCCTCAGGCTTGGGTCAGGATCCCCTGAATAGTCTTGGCTCTGTCTGTCCCAAAGCCAAGGCCATGCCCTTAGAAGTGCCCCTGCCCAAGCTCTGTATCAGCCCACTGGGCAGCCAATCCTTGATTCCCTATCAACTCAGCCTCCCCAGTGTGCCAATGATGTCTTCAGTGTCCAGTAATGCAGTCTGGACAGTGGTAGCTGCAGCTGTAGCCATGCCAGTTTCAAAGAAATCACCCCTGAGCCAAGTAGATAGTAGCATTCTGCCACATTTTGATAGCAACTCCATCATCTTTGTCAAGGCACCTATGAGTAAACCCCCAACAGCCCTAGCATCTCCATTTCAGAAGGTTGTGGTTCAGGCCAATCAGATGGCCCCAGGATCCAGGCCTGGCCAGAAGGTGTATGCTGCTCTGGCCAGCCCCAGATTCAGCCTATTGGGCAATCAGAGCCTTGTACAGAGCCCAGCACAGGGGCTAATGCCTGTGTTGAGTACCAAGTCCCTCCAACAGAGCATGACCAGCTGCTCTCCCATAAGTCCTATTCAGGAGCTAGAGCCTCCAAGCTATGCAGCTGCTACTGCTGCTACTAGCCAGTCCCTAGGTACATTGATTAGAATGGGCACACCCCTTGAGCCACAGGACAATGTCTTGCCTCAGACACAGTCCCCAATAGATGGTCTGATTTCACCATCATCTGCAGGCAGTGAGGTGGATCTCATGGAAGAGCTTTTGGGAGGCTCCAGTGTGGCCCCAGATGAAGACTGGGTGTGCAACTTGCGGCTGATAGATGACATTTTGGAATAGCATGCTGCTGCCCAAAATGCTACAGCCCAGAGTGCTGACCAAGTCACCCAGGGTGCTGAGGAGCTATAAATCAAAGTAGGGTGCTCCAGAAAAGCCCCATGTCGTCACTCAAAGGAGTGGTCTGAATCTGCAGCCAGCTTGAAACTGGCCCCAGACACCCACACTAGGGTCCTAGTCTGAATTCTGTCAGCCCTGCCCGTCCCTCTATCTACCTGATAAATAAAAAGCTGGTGATTTTTCAAGCTACTTGTACATATTTGAAAATTTTGTAAATGGTTTTCCTAATCATAAATGACAGAAGTATTTATACTTGGTTTTGTGGCTTTGTAAATAAAGTGGTGGCTTTGGTTTCAGTAGAGTTGTGTTTATTATACATTGTTCCAAATATGCAGACTGTGTTGTTCGCTCCAGTGATAACCTTGTTAAATCAGGTGGCTGAGTCACTGAGGTTTTCATGCCACAAGAAACGTGGATGTGACCAAGGGGTATTGTGCAAACTGACAAATGCCAAATAGAAAGCCACTTGGTCGTTAATTTCCACTCCATTACAAACTGTACTATCCAGTGTGACTCTTAACTTTCACAAGCCTTTAAGTCTCAGCTAGTTCTTTCCTAATGAACATTTACACCAAAAGTCATGGTGTGGTTAAGTGTCCCACAGAGACACTCATGGGAGGCCAAGAGCATCCTTTAGGTTTGGTTAAGAGAAGTGCAGAAATAGTCTGAGCTGAGCACTGTGTGAGCTGGCCACCTTGAGGAACTAGAGCGTTCCCTTCCCTTTGTCACCTATGGTGACCTTCAGCTGCAGAGAAATCCCCAGCTTTAGACAGCTTTGGTGCACCATCACAGAGTGATGCTTTAAAGTCTGCTTTAAACCATTTGACACTCATTTTGATGTGAATCTCTGTGGCTTGGGGGGAAAGTCTGTAAACATTAATGGTTGATTTGGGGTTGTCTTTAATGGTATCTATTTGCGGCTCTTGTCATGTATATTTAAGTGTCTGTTAGAGAAACTCCACAGCCACTGTCCTGTAAACTTTGCTCAGTGTCCAGATTTTGTGTAATACATTTTAATTGACACCTTGTATTTTGATTCGACATTTGAGATCTGGCATCTATTTTGAGCCAGTGTTTTTTGTTGGATTTTCTTTTGCTTTCTTTTTCTTTTTTCTTTTTTTCTTTGTTCTGTAATAAACAGCCAGGAGAAAAGTGTTTCTGTGTTTTCATTTTCTTCAGGAAGCATCTAGTCCCTACAAACCCAAGTCAGTTCTGACTTTGGTGCCCTCAGAGGCTGCTTCTATCCTATGCATTGCAAAAATTGCTGCAGCAGAGTCACTTGTGCATGTGTGCTTGCCATTTCACAGCATGTGCTGTGGATGTTTTATTAGGGCCCAGAAGAAAGTCAGTTTGATCCCAGCCCTTTGTTTTATAGAGACAAAAACAGGGAACAGGCAGTCACTTTGGAAATCCCACTCTAGGGAAAGAGGTAGAAAAACACACTCCAAAATCCAGGGGTTCCTTACTACCACCCTTCTACCTTTGCAGGAGCACACATTTTCTGTCCCTGGCCAGACCCTGCTGCAGCACTACAATATGGGCTAACTGTGGCTCCAAACAGAACTGAGCTTCTTGCTCCATCCACTTGAGATGAAGAGGTGACTCACAGGCAGTGGGGGAGATACTGCAGACTACAAACCAGATAGGGCCACATCTTGCAGAAAGGGCACATATGCATAGAGGTTTAGTAGGGACTGACCCTAAGATGATGACGTGTCTGGCCCCACTGTTCAAGAAGTGGGTCTGAACTTCATAGAAAGTCTTAAGTCCTCAATGGTATATGCAAGAAGCTATGCACACTTACATTGTACCCAAAGGTCTAAAGTCATTTCCCCTGGTTTGGTCTAGCCTGCTCCACACAAAACTTTCTGTTTATTTGGAAACATGGAGTCAGAAGAGTTCAGCAAGGGTGCAAAGAAAAGTTAGCATTTTTCCCCCTTTCAGTCCAGGAAACTAATGGGAAGAGGCAAGACTGAGATCTGCCTCACTAACTCTGGAGGAGGAACATTGCCCCTGGAGTCCCAGACTCAATCCTTTTAAAACCTGCTATGGACAACAGTGTGAGACACTCTTTTCCTTTTCTTTTCCCACTCCTGGACCAGCATCTACAGTCAGAGATTTTGCCTAGGGTGATCAGTTCCAGTTTAGACAGCTGCAAAAGCAATAGCTTTTGCACAAGAGACCCCTGTCTGACTTACCCTTGGCCCCTCTCAATTGTGGCAAGTGCCTTCCAAAAAACTTCACCTGATTTTTGCTTCCTTTAACAGGGACCCTAAGACCTTTGCCTCTCCCACCAGATTGACAGAACCTAGTCAGCAGGTAGCAGGAGCTCATAAATGGAATCATATCTTCCTAAAGTTGGTAGAGAGCCAACAGGAACACAAATCACGGTGCATGTACACAAGAGCATGTGCATACATACATACACACAGAGAGAAAGAGAGAGAGAGAGAAAGAGAGAGAGAGAGAGAGAGAGAGAGAGAGAGAGAGAGAGGAGCTGAGTGAACATCTAGAACCCAATCTTTTTTTTTTACTTATTCACTTTACATCCCAATAAATGCCCCCTCCCAGTCACCTCCCACAATCCTTCCCTCCATTCTCCTTTCCCTTCCTTCCCCCCTACCAAATTAAGTCTGCAAGGCTATTTACTGAGGCCAGACATGGCAGTCCAGCTAGAAGAACCTATCCTGCATACAGGCAACAGCTTTTGGGATAGCCCCTGCCCCATTTGTTTAGGACCCACATGAAGACCAAGTTGCAGATCTATATATGTGCCGGGAGGCCTAGGTCTAGCCCATGTATATTCTTTGGTTTAAGGTTCAGTTTCTGAGAGCCCCAAGGCTCCAGGTTAGTTAACTCTGTTGGTCTTCCTATGAAGTTCCTGCCCCATTCAGGGCTGCAATCCTTCTTCCTATTTTCCAAGTCCCCAATATCCATCCACTGTTTGGCTGTGGGTGTCTGTATCTGTCTGGATCACCTGCTGGGTTGACCCTCTCAGATGACAACTTGCTCCTGTCTACAAGCATAACAAAGTATCATTAATAGTGTTAGGAGTTAATGCTTGTCCGTGAAATGGGTCTCTATTTGGGCTGGTTATTGGTTGGCCATTCTTTCAATCTCTGCTCCATCCCCTGCCCCTGCATTTCTTGTAGGCAAGATGAATTTTGGGTTCAAAGTTTAGTGGGTGAGTTGGTGTCCCTATCACTCCACTGGGGTTTCCACCTGGCTACAGGAGGTGGTTTGTTCAATGGAACCCAATCTTTTAAAATACTCTCAGAAATTGCCCACACTCAAAACTCAATGCAGTGACTAAGAGCAACTGTCCCCAGGGATAAAGTAGCCTTCTCAGACAATGGCTGGGTAGAAAGTGTTCGGAGGAATAGTCCTTATCCAAAGTCCCTGGTTTCATTGGCCTCTGCCCACCCTAATCTCTGTTACTGCCTCATGAACATTCCTTTTAGGTTCAGGTAAGAGATGTGCTCTGTAGTCAGTCAGTATACCCACTCCCTAGTAGACTTCTTCTGCCTGAAGTTCTCCCTTGTTCTAATTATATTTGGTTCAAAGTCCAGAGATTATCCATTGAGATTTCCAGGACCTTTTTTTTTTCATTTAAAAGTGTTTTGACAATGTCTTGTCTGTACTGCATTTACATCACACCCACCCCTCTTTGCCCTCCTCTAACTCCTCATATTTCCCCTCCCATTCTCTCAAATTCATAATCTCTCTTTAATTGCATCATTACACACAAACATATACAACCTATGGAGACCATTTGATTTTGTTTGTTTCTGTGTGTGTGTGTGTGTGTGTGTGTGTGTGTGTGCGTGTGTGCGTGTGTGTGTGTGTGTGTGTGTGAGAGAGAGAGAGAGAGAGAGAGAGAGAGAGAGAGAGAGAGAGAGAGAGTTGAAGAGGAGGCACACAGATTGTCATAGAAATAAAGTTTCTTTATTTAAGAAAAAAAATCAAGGAACTCCTGAGACTAGAAGTAAGCTAAAGAGCTGAGACAGGATCTGGGGCTCAAAAGCTCTGGTCACCAGGTGGCCAGAACCTTCAGAATTCATTTCCATAGCATCTGCCCTTTCCCACAATTGTTCATCATGATGCTTTCTCATGACTGTCGTCCCTTACACATAGCCCAGTGGTCAGAAGTGGTTCCTGTCCTCCTCTGTCATTGAGTCCTTTCATTTATTACTCTTGATATCTATTTTTCTCATGCCTCACTGTCCTGCCTTACCACACACACACATCAAACAAGCCCTAGCTGTCAATCAGACACGTCACAAGAACTCTTGGACCCACTTGCCCATCCCTCTCTCTCAGTGGTCCCAGGGGAAGCAAAAGTTGAGTGCCAAGAAGCTCATTGTCACTTTGTTGATTTTTATGAGACAGAAGTTCAATAATAATTGCATGTGGTTATCATATACTACTGTGAAATAGTCCATAGAACCTGCTGGACTGAGAATTACACCACATGCTCTTTAAAAGTTCCCTCCCACCTATCCTAAGATGCCACCATAGCCAGCCCAAGAGCCTCACAGGTCACAGCTATTCATCTTTCAGTTCTTCCAGACCACTGAGATCCAAATAGAAGTGTAGCTTGACCCACTATGTCAGTTGATGTCACATTCCTAGCGGGGCAAAGTTCCTAAGTCACCTACCCTGGCAAACTCGACGCTGTGCCATGGTAGGCCACAAAACAGAATAGCTTCCTGATCACTTCCTGCTACCTGACCATCCTGGCCTCACCCTACTCCTCCTATATCAGTGACCTCTGCTTCTGAGTGAAAGTCATCACAGGTTGTTCCTTTGCAGAGTACAGTGTTGCCCTCACTGCTCCCTATCCCATTAGCCTCTCCTCTGGAGAGATTCCTCCCAAGGATACCTGTCAAGCACCCACTCTTGCTCTTTACTTCCCTTTCCAAGGAGCACCTTCACTCACCTCCTTCTTCCTCTTCCTCCTAACCCAGAATTTCCTGCTCAGTTCCTCCTCCCAAGTCCTTTTGTCAAAACAGCTTCCTTGTAACCATAAAGGCAAGGCAAGCTACTTACTCCTCAGTAGCCAGGAGTGCCCCTTCAGCAAAGCTGTGATGGTCTTTGGCTTCTGGGTAGGACAATAAGCCATACCTTCTCTAAGGTCCCCAGAGGAAATGTCACCCCTTCCACTGCTTGTTCATAATCTACTAGGTTACCTTCATGCTCTCCCTATCTTCAGAAAGCAAGCCAACATCACAGCACCTCAGTAGTTGCTCAGTATCTGAGCATCTCAGCTGAGAAGACTGTAGTAAGTCTATTCACTTCCCTGATTAACTGGGTCCCCCACTGGTCCCTGAAAGGAATGATATAGATGCATCAGCATTTTCATTGCTGTGATGAAACACCTAACAAAAGCAACTTCAGAAAGGGTTTATTCTGGCTCCCAGTTTAAAAACAAGATATGGCAATGGTAGCCTAAGATAGTGGACCATATTTGAAATATGTGGTGTACATGTATAAAAATGTCGTAATGAAACACATTAGTATGTATAATTAACATATGCTAACAAAACCTTTTCAAATTTAATATTTTGAGAATTTCCTACATGAGTACTGTATTTTCATCATATCCACCCCTCCCTGTACTCCACCAACTCCTCCTATGTCCCTCCTATTTGCTCTCAAATTCTTGACCTTTTCATCTATAATTTTATATATGCACACAGAAATGCATGCACACATCATCTCGAGTCCATTTAGTGTTGCTCATGTGTACATGTGTTTAGGACTGACCATTTGGACCTGAATAACCTATCAGGACAGGCCTCATTCTTAGAGAAACTGATTCTCCCTCCCTCAGCATATAGACTGACTATCTATAGTGCTTCACCTGAGGGTGTTTTGTGACATTCCTCCCATCCTCCTGGCATAGCAATTAGTGTGATTACTATGTAGGTCTTGTTTCAAGAACCACGTTGTTGAGATTTCATTTGTGCAGCAGCAATGTCATGTCTAGAAACACAATCTAGCATCAAGTGTCTTGATTCCCTGGCTCTTACATTCTTTCTGCCTGCTCTCCCATGCTGTTCTCTGAGTCTAAGATTTGGGGTTGCATTGTAGTGTACCAATTGGGAATGATTACTCCATGCTCACTTACTTTATCCATTTTGATCAATTGTGGG